CACAGGTAAACTGAAAAAATAACAAGCAGACATATCTTCTTTTGGTTCTTCTTTGCAAACCCATATTAATCATTACTAGTTGTTTCCAAAATGGAAAAGTATTGGACTGTTGGAATACTGTGTTTCTAAATTAAAACTGTGAAGGAAAATCATGAGGGAAAAGTCTCATAGCAAACAAGAGATAGGGGAGAGGTAAAGGAGCGATTAAGATAGAATCGAGGGGCCGGGTTTGTGGCTCAGTGGTAGAGCACTCATCTGGCATGCATGAGGCACTGGGTTTGATCCTCAGCACCACATAAAATAAATAAAGGTATTGTGTCCACCTACAACTAAAAAATATATATTGGAAAAAAAAGAATCAACATAACACTCTAACTTCACTGCAGTGATGATTTACCAAACAGATTAAATATGTTGTAAGCCTAATCTCTCAAAGAAAAGAGGTGTTTTTTAGTTATCTGCATCACAATAGCTAGGCAAAGTGGTGCACACCTGTAATCTTGGCAACTCCACAGTAGCCTATGTAGATAGTTTTCCAACTTGATTGGTAGTGGGAAAATAAGAATTATAAAGCAATAATCATGGTCATCTGATTTTTATCACAGAATCAATATTTGGAGTCAAAGCACATACTTTTTTGTCAAGCATTCTAGCTCTCAGAACACAAATGTCAACTGGAAATGGGGAATGGGTAGTGGTCATAACTTGATAATTATTTCCAAGGAGTAAATTTGAGTGATGCTCAGTTGAGAGAGGAAATAGCCTGCAAAACATTAAGTCCAACTAAAAAAACCTAATACTGGGAATAGGTTTTCCTTAACCTGATTACATAAAAAGGGAAAAATATAAGAAAATGAGATAAATGAATATGATGGATTTATATACAATGTGCTTGAATGAAATAAAAGAGYGAAATTTTAGACACCTTTCTGTTTTGTTTTATTTAGAGACAACCCTGCTGAGTTGCTTAGAGCATGGCTAAATTACTGAGGCTGACTTTGAACCCGTTATCTTCCTGCCTGCCTCAGCCTCCCGAGCCATTRGGTTTACAGGCATGCACCTCTGTGCCCAGCTTTCTAAGAGTTTCGTTATAGAACTAATCCCAATAACCCAGAGTTTTATGTAAAATTATATGGAGAATAGTAATAATTATTAATAAATAGCCTCCTTAAAAAGGCAGGTCTTGCCTGCCTTTCTCAAAAGTTTTAGCAGTAATCCTAACAGTTTGTTACTTTAATTTACATATGGAAAAATCCAGTGTGCATGTTCATAGGGAAGCCTGCCTTTTGGTTTCTGTAATACTATTGGGTCAGATCTTACGATTGAGTAACCTTTTGAACCATCAAAATAGTCAAGTACTTCAGTCTGGTTAGTCTTTGGACTTTGTGGTTAACAAGCCACAAATTTGATAAGCTTTAAATATAATTTAAAAATCTGAATGGAAGGTCAAGAAATAAGATGCAAAAATGGCTTTTGTCCCTCTACCAATTTTCTTGGTTTCTTCTTGGGAGTACTGTCATGCTCAAAACTTTTGGAACCTTTTTTCCTGAGCGAAATAGAAGGGTTCAGAGTGTGAATGTGGGAAAGGTTCAAAGTCAAGACTTTAAGCCAGGCATGGTGGCACATGCCTGTAATCCCAGTGGCTATGGAGGCTGAGGCAGGAGGATTGCAAGTTCAAGGCCAGCCTCAGCAACTTACCAAGACTGTCTCAAAATAAAATTTAAAAAGGGATGGAGATATAGTTCAGTGATAGAGCCCTGAGGGCCTGGAGTGAGGGAATGGAATCAACACCTTACTGTTAGGGAATGTTGTAGTTTAGATGCATGAGAAAATAAGTTTGTGTGGTTCACTAGACAAGAAGGAAGATACAGATAGCACTGGTCATTTCTGTCATTGTAGCAAACATATTTTAAAAATATTAAAAACATAAAAAAAATAGATTGAATCCTGAGTGTGAAAAAATTGTGGGCTTTTCCTTTAAAGAGATGGGTTTTTTTAGCTTCAGCCTGGCAGCTCTTCAAATAAAAAAGGAACAAAGACACTATAAACAACCCTCCCATCCCTAAGCAGGACTGCATAAATAAGCAGACGTTCATGGCCAAGACAGTGAAGGCAGCAGGAGTCACAGTGAGCATACAGAAGCTCAATGTGGGTCTCAGAAAGGGTAACAAGTAAGGCTAACATTGGCAGTAGTCTTCAGATGGTGATATTAGTAGTGGTAAGTCAAAACAGTAGGCACAAACTGACCTACTTTTAGCCCCCTGTTTCAAAGGGGAAATTAGGGTCTTCTGGAACTAGGAGAATCTTATGTGAAGAAAGGACTATTGCCAGTGGGAAAGAGGGGACCCTTATCTTCACAAAATACAAGCAAATGCTGTGGCCATCACTGTTTCCCTTTCATCTTGAACACTGTGATTGATCCCTTTTCTCTTTTCCTTTTCCTTCATCTTTAGCTGTCCTGTGTGATAACATGTAGTATTCTTTTTGTTCTCTAATTCCTAGCTTATTTGGGGTATGATTATGTCTTGGCTGAACTATGGCTGTTTTTCTCATGGCAGTTTTTGGATGGAGTAATAACTGAAAAACTGAAGAGAAAGAATTGGATCTAAACTCTGTCTCACATGTCAGATTACACATCCTTAGCTAAGGGAAAGGAACCTTGAAGTCACCAAACTCCCTCCTACTAGGATATAGGGGAAATTAAAAAGAACCCAGAGCTCTCTTAGACCTAATTAATTCTTCAACTCTGGAGGAAGCCATTTGTCTCTTAATGAAAAAACTTTGAAGGAGGTCAGAAGCAGTGGAGGAGGAATTCTCAAAGGAAAGATACTGTGATAGCCAATTGCTAGTTCTCTGTTCTTGTTTACCTGTGCTAGTCTTTATAGTTCATCCTTGGGTGAGAGCATGTGAATCTCAGACTGTGTAAGTCCAGCTAAATTTCTTTAGTTTCTGGAACTTTTTCCTCCTGAAAAACAGGATCTATAACATGATACTCATTTATGTCATCCTTTGTTTTATTTTTTTACTTCAAGCTTATTCTAGAGGTAGTACCTCTCAGATAGTTACTTGAAGAAGATATATCTCCATGACATTCATGTTCTTGACTGTCCTTACCTCTTTTTCTTTAGTTTTTATTCCATTTTAAAATATATAATCTGTCCCGTGGAAGGATTGCTTATAGTGACTGGTGGGTCATCTGCCTGTTCACTTTACCCCTTGGATTGAAGGGTTTAGCCTTATAACATGGCTAATATTTTGGGATAGGTAGAATGCCAGAGGAATCTTATCAATCTCTTCTGGACAAATTTCTCTCACTAGAGAACATAGCTTAGAGTTTAGAACTCTGTTCTTGCTGGGCAGCTCCTCCTGCATTAGTAGCTGTTTTTACAACTAAGGGCACCTTTGGCATTATCCTTGGGCAGAGTTAGATCAAATCTAGGAAAACCTAGATTTGAGTAATATGTTATTCTAATATCACTATATATTAGAGTGTAATGTAATGATTCAGTAACATTTAAATCAACTGAGCTCTAGGTAGCTAAGGGCTTCATATTCTAGGCAGAGAATTAGCTACAACTTGAGTCCTCTGGGCTTATTGCTCAGTTGTCAGAACTGTAGGCAGAACAGTGTCTTCTTCAGACCTAGTTCCCCACCTCAGAGTCTGCCTTATGGCGTATGTGGTTTCCCTGCAGCTGCCTAGGCATCCTCATCTATAGGCCCTTTCTCTAGTCTAGACCATGCTCTGGTATGTTCCTGGCAGTGTTCCCTGCTGCCTACCCAGCATGTAGTTGCCTACTGTCGGGCAGTAGCTCATTTCTCTGGCATCCTGGTGTGTAAATATTTGTCAAAGGATGGGGGCATTTTCCCATTCCTCAAAAAGCATTCTGAAAAATGTGCCTGTTTTCTTAGTCATATTTTAAACTGTAGCTCAGTTAGCCCATTCATTCCTTGCCGTTGAGAAACATTGGCCTGGCCTCAGCTGGCCACATAAAGTTAAGTAGCAATAACTTTTGGCATAGTAACTTTCAAACTTTTAATACCAGGTAGTCCTGGACCTGAAGAAACCGTAGACAGTGTAGTCACATTTAAGTCTCTTCTTAAGAGAAGACATTGTTTTATTAACAGAAAGAATTATACCTCTTCTATCATGCATTTTAATTTCTTTCACTCACACTTTATATTGAAGTAGTAATGGAACCAGAAAAACTGAGGAAGCTAAGCATATAGATTCTGAAGGAGACCTTTATCCTTCATGTTTATAACTWACTTATAGATCTCATTTAATCTAGGTATTTATTCTACATCCATGTCTATCTCCATAAAGTGACATTGCAGAGCAATTGTAAGTTTGTAGGTGCTTTTCTAATACCATTAATGCTTTGTCCTATCACTTAGTTCTACTTGAGACCAAAACAGTTTGGTCTCTGCAGTATGGCTAATGAAGCTGAAAAGGCCATCATTAACCATAGAACACAGTGTTCTATTTTGTGCAAAATCAGGTAACCCTTAGGTAAGGTTTGGACTCTTGATCTTAGCTTGATTAACATTGAACTCTGAGCCCAGGATCTATTTAAATTGCTCACATAGTCTCAATGATTGAGGTAACTGCTAATGTGCCTTATTAAACTGCTTGCACTCCTTCCTTTCCTTTTCTGTAAGCCTTGCTGACTAGCTTCACTTTTTCCTTATTTTCTAGTCACTTGACCTAACCCTTAGTTTTCTACAAGTCTGGCCATCATCTGCACATTTATATCCTTAGCCATATCTACGTGTCACACACATATGTGTGCCCACATATATACATACACCAGCTCTTTCTCTTTTTAGTGTTTTTAACCACTTTAACCCTCTCCTTTCTAATCAAAAGTTGATATAGGTAAATGAGGCTGTTGGGTGTTGAAGTATTAAATTGATTAGGAAACACTAACATCTGCTATTCAGCAGGCAACTGCTTTTCCTTATATAACAGCTGTTTTAACAAGTATGATTTCTTCCCACAGATCATCAATTTCTACATGAATATGTTAATGGAACGAAGTAAAGAGAAGGGATTGCCAAGTGTGCATGCATTTAATACCTTTTTCTTCACTAAGTTAAAAACAGCTGGTTATCAGGCAGTGAAGCGTTGGACAAAGAAAGTGGATGTATTTTCTGTTGACATTCTTCTGGTGCCCATTCACCTGGGAGTGCACTGGTGTCTGGCTGTGAGTATCTTTTTTTTTTTCTCCCCTTTTTTAAATGTGTTGTTTTATTTTCATATGTAAAAGTAACCTTTTTTATCAATAGAAATTGTTAGCAGATATAGTAAATTAGCCTTATAGTACTTTATTTTTGATAAAATTCAGAAGAAATCTACATAATTATAGAGCATAGAGAAGGTCATGAGTAGTATTTTTACATCTTCACTCGATTATTGAGAGAGAGTATTATTTAGTAGTAGATTAGCTAAAAATCAGATAATCAATGGAATTCCTGTCTAGAGTAGGAGATACTTAAACTTTGAGGAAAGCTGAAGAATTTACTCTTTTTGGAAATATAAAAGGGAATTATAGGGTATCTAAACAGCTTTATGGCAGGGCATGGAGAAAAAAAAATGACTTCTTAATGGTGCTGCCAACTCAGGTTCTGTGACAATTATTTTCTGCCTAAGAATGGCTTGCCTTGCATATGTGTTAATGTAATTTTTTTTATGATTCTGAGAGCATGATGCATTAGTTCAATGTGTTAATAAAAGTTATTTCACAGTCTATTTTGAATTATACTTAATAAGTGTAAATCCAAAAGGAAATTCTCAAGGTAAAGAAAAACAATCCAGGGGCTGGTGTTGTGGCTCAGTGTTAGAGTACTTGCCTAGCACATGTGAGGCACTGGGTTCAATCCTCAGCACCACATAAAAATAAATAAATAAAGGTATTGTGTCTATCTACAACTAAAAAAAAAAACAGAATCCTTTCACCATTTTTCTGAAACTCTGTGAAAATGATCTTGACATACTCACCTTATATTTTCTCAAGTGCATGCTGTTTCTTTACTGTTGCCCATCCTGTAGAAAGAAAATAAACAACAGACAAAGGTTTTCTGGCATTAATGAGTATAACAATGGATGGGTATACCCTCATAATTCTGTGTAAATCTCTCCTTCTTTCCTGTGCAGATTAAGCATAATATAATACAAAGTATCAATCAAATTTCTCACTATTGCACAGAAAGCCTGGGGAAAAGCTCCAATGTTAAGGGAAGGAAAAGCTGAGAAATGAATTTTCTTCACTTTATAAACAGATTTTTTTCTTATCTCCAGGTTGTGGATTTTAGAAAGAAGAATATCACTTATTATGATTCTATGGGTGGAATAAACAATGAAGCCTGCAGAATCCTTCTGTAAGTAGGAAGTTGAGAGTGGAAGAGTTTGATGTTGGGTATATGCTATGTTTTTTCATTAGTTAATCTCAGTTGTTTGATACCTTCAGAAGAGCAAGCAGTGAATTTTTCATATTAAGTAACCTTAACCCCTATAATCACCTTAACCACCTTTATTTAAAATATGATAATAATGCAATAATACCAAAAATATGCCTTAATGGGGCAATTACTGTCCTATACACTAAAATAGAATGGACATAAAGATAGAGACACAGTCACTAATTTAATGCAGCCTTCTAATTTTTCTTCATCTGACCTACAGAGGTGATTTTCATTTGCCCAGGTCCTACTAGTTTGAGGCTCAGCTGAGAACCAGAATTCAAATCTCTTTATGCTCTGCTTCTTTGTCTTTCCAAAACACCTATTCTTTACTGTACTATTCTGATGGCTGGGAGAAGATAGGTTCCAAAATGGCGAGCAGTTTATACTTTAAAAGAGTGCTCTATGTGAGGTATGCATTCAATAAATTGTTGACATGGTTTAAATTTTCACATAGAAGAACCTAACAATAGTAAATAAAAACCTCCTTACTGCTAGAGAAACATTTTATCCATTAGATTAAGTTTTTTAAGACCATATAAACCAACCATCAAAAATTGTTTCTCAGCAGAAATAGTAGGTCAAAGGAGTCTGGTTTATCAGAGGCAGAAGTCATGTCTCTGTTGGGTTGACAGAGTAAGTTAATGGAGGGAGTTATGAGAAGCTGGCTCAGCTCCAGAAGCTCAATAGTCCAAGGATTCCCTACCCAGCTCTATATCCTATTCTTCTCAGAAGATGAAACACTTGAGGATTATWGGCCCCATTCTTAGGATTACAATGTCATCAGCATTCCTGACAGCTTATCTCATTGTCTTCTAATACCTTTAGGCAATACCTAAAGCAAGAAAGTATTGACAAGAAAAGGAAAGAGTTTGACACAAATGGCTGGCAGCTCTTCAGCAAGAAAAGCCAGGTACATTTCATCTTGATGTGGTAGATGTCCTAAAAGTAGGCTCTCTGTGGAGGAAAGAATTTTAGGAAAGATTCCCAAGGACCTTCAGTCTTAGTGTCTAGCATGACTTTAGTTTGGTTGTTTGGTTCTTCCGGGAAGATAGATTAACTTCTTTTGTGGGAAAACTTGTAATGTGTTTCTTGGTAGAAAAAAGTTTTCTAAATGCCTAGCTATTTTTCTAAGTTTGTTGCTCCTGTGGGAAACATTTGCTGTTTATTTGGCACTTGGGGAAGAGGCCAGTTTTTATACCTTTAGGTGCCATGGAARTCTAAGATATTTTCCTGTGTGATTAATATGAAAGACATAGACCTGACTGAAATGCTGTTTTGTTTTGTTTTGTTTTAGCTTCTATTGTTCTTAATGGGGGCCCAGAGCCACCTGTTGAAAATTCAGGAAAACCTGTAACATTTTGTATCCTTTGGTTTTTGTTTTTAATCAAAGTAGAAGAAAAGCTATTGCTTTGTTGTTGTTATTGGTCTTCCAGGAAATTCCACAGCAGATGAATGGTAGTGACTGTGGGATGTTTGCCTGCAAATATGCTGACTGTATTACCAAAGACAGACCAATCAACTTCACACAGGTGAGCTGGGCCTTCAGGAGGGAGCAATATGCACACCTTGTCTTTAAGCTGCACATAGGTGTTTTTCTCTCCACTTCTCTCCCCTGTGGACTGTGTCCTGACCTTTAGCATGCTTTAGGCTATGACTCATACCATTGGTAGTTACTGCCTGTGACACATCACATACACACAAAAAAAAACACCTCCTGAGTTATCATGGGTCACATATGATAGCGAAGGAATCCTGGGTAAAAGCAAAGCCTTATTCTCTACCCATCTCCCCACTTACTTCAAATCCTATAGGAAACAGAAAACTGGGACATGAGCAAATTTTCTTCCATTTCCCTGAATTTAGTCCGCTTCCAGGTTTTGGAGTAGGTTATATCTTGATCTCTTAGTGTAATTTGTTACCTCCCCTGTCCACTTACTTAATGCAGCTGGTCAATCTTCTCTGTATGATTGGTCATTTCTGTTCATATGCCCTTCAGAGACCAAAGTAGATTGAGACTAGAGAATGTGGCTTATCAGTGTTTCCACTTGACTCTTTGTTTGAATCAATGCCTTTTCCATCATAACCCTCTGTTCAAACCAGACTGAAGCGGGGCATTGTGGCACATACCTGTAATCCTACCAGTTTGGGAGGCTGAGATAGGAGGATCAAAAATTTGAGGCCAGCTTCAGCAACTTAATGAGAATCTACCTCAAAAATAAAAAGGATTGGAGCTGGGGTTTGTGGCTCAGAGATACAGCGCTTGCCTAGCACATGCAGGGCACTGGGTTCGATCCTCAGCACCACATAAAAATAAAATAAAGGTATTGTGTCCAACTACAACTAAAAACAAAATATTTAAAAAATAAATAAATAAAAAGGATTGATCTGGGCATAAGTGGTGCATACCTATAATCCCAGTGGCTCAGGAGGCTGAGGCAGGAGGATTTTGAGTTCAAAATGAGGTGCTGAGCAACTCAGTGAAACCCTGTCTCTAAATTAAAAATACAAAATAGGGCTGGGGATGTGGCTAAGTGGTCGAGTGCTCCTGAGTTCAGTCTCTGGTACCTCCCCCACCCCTCCCCCGCCAAAAAAAGGATTGAGGATTTATCTGTTATATGAGTGCCCCTGGGTTCAGTGCCCAGTACCAAATATTAAAAATAAACCAGACTGAGCTAACTCTTGAAGGTTCCCTCAACTTTTCCCCATAAAGGTTGAGTTTTTTACTTTCAGTCCTCAGTCTGATATTATAAGTTCAACATAGAATGCTTTCTAGACACCATTCTCAAAATKCTTGGGGACTTTTGGGGATCCCTAATGATGCCCCGTATAATTTCTGAGGTTACAGAATGGGAAATAGCAATAGAAATAGCAGTCCAAAAAAAAAAAAAAAAAAGAATGAACAGTTTGAAAGACTAGATACACTATGGAAACTATGTTATTTGAGAACCTTGAGAAGAAAAGGAGTTTGAGGAAAAGAATGTTGGGTCTAGATAATTGAAAATTAAGCTGTCTCTATGTTCCTACAGCAACACATGCCATACTTCCGGAAGCGAATGGTCTGGGAGATCCTCCACCGAAAGCTATTGTGAAGATTTGTCTCAGTGAACTAACAACCTAACTCTGGGGGACCAGCCCTTTGTTGTCTACAGCCAGAGACCTTGGAAACAGCTGCTCCCAGCCCTCTGTTGTAACGCCCTTGATCCTGGACCAGGCCCTGGCAAGATGCATTCACAAGCACATCTGCCTTTCCTTTTGTATCTCAGATACTATTTTTGCAAAGAAACTTTGGTGCTGTGAAAGGGGTGAGGGGCATCCCTAAGCTGAAGAGAGAGACTGCTTTTCAGTTCTTCAGTTCTGCCATCTTGTTTTCAAAGGGCTCTAGCTTCATTCAGTCCCTGATTAGGTAGGGGACTGAGAAAAGCTTGGGAAGAATCTTGGTTTCATGTAAACTCTTGTTGCTAGGCCTTCCTAAGAAGTAGGACAGGGCATGGACAAAAGGTAGGGACGAAAACCACCAGCATACACATGCACATATACATACACACTTGATTTTCAAGATGTGTGGTCAGGAATATGACTGTAAACTGGACTTTGGGGTACATGCATAAGTCCCTTCCTCCAGGACCCTTCCTATTTTTTATGTCCCGTGCAAAATGTAACTGCTTCTCTACAAGGCTGTTTATCATCAGTAGCTTTGTCCCATCCTGAGGCACAGCACACAAGCCCTAGGCAGGCCCCAAAGTACTGAGCAGTCCTTTCCTTAAGAGCAGGGGTTTACATGTGCTAATAACACATGCTATGGGGAAGATCAACCCAGGGAGGGGTCAGTGGAGCCACAAAGCCCCACTTCTACAGTTGCCTACTTCTGACTAAGAAGAAGGACCTCAGTCTTTAGTATAAAACTCCAGTGTTGGATGAGTGCAGGTCTAGTTGGTCTGTGGCTAGTTAGTTTAAATATGTTTCTAACCACAGAGGATTTAATATATATATACATATATATATTTCACAGGGAGATTTTTTTTAAAAAAAGAAAAAGACTGAATGTGTTCACCATTTAGCCTGTAGATTTATTTTCATTTTTCCAAATTCCAGCACAAGAGATCCCAGCCTCCTCTGTGTAGGGGGCTTGTAGACTTCCTAACAGAATATTTTGAGGCCTGGATGAACTTTGATTAGGGGTAGAGGTTATCGAGGAAAGTGAGATTTTTCAGCTGAAAAACGGGTGGAATTTGGGCTGATCAACTTGGGATTTAAAAACTGCTATTTCTTTTGTTCTTTCTAGCATCTCTCCCACCCTCTGAGAGCTCCTATGGCTTAGATAGTGAAATGATCCAATGCCAGTGTCATTTTGTACTTAAGTTCCAAAATAGGAACATTTTATACTTTTTTCTGTATTGTAATAGGTAGTTTTGTATAAAATCTTTTCTCCTCTTCCCTTGTACCCCATCCTTTCCAGCATTGTGCTTTCTCCGTGGGCTTATTTGAAAATTTTACTCTGTTTTATACCAGGCTTGTTTAGTACATTTTTCTATGTTTTACCACAAGTTACAATTTGAAAAAAAAACTATTTTTTTTAAATATTCCATTGTTAATTGAATGTTACTGTTTCCACTCCAGCAACCAGTTGTCCTAACTTTTTCATAACTGCCTGCCTTTTGGGGGAAGACCACCTTTTGTGTGTTTGTTCTCTTTTCTATCTCTTGCTCTCCCTCTCTCTCTCCCTCCCTCTCTCTTTCTCTGTCTCTCTGTTTTCTATAGGAAATAAATAGCTTTCTATATATGAGTTGCTGGGACCTTTCACATTCTCTTTTAGAAAGCTATGGCACGCAGACTCAATGTAGGATTCCTGGAATAGTGTCTGATTCTTGGTACTTACTGTATTTAAGTGACAACTTGAAAGGTGGCAATATGTGTATATTTGAACTATAAATCAAAAGACTTAAGTTTTTCAGGCTCTCTCACCATTGTCCGGGAGCTCATACAAGATAGTTCTCTGTATTTATTGTTTGTTTATTTAGATAACATCTGTCTTGTCTTTCTCAGAGACTTTTTGTACAGACCAAAGCAACAAATATTTATTGCCATGTATAGCAGAAAATGAAACATGCAACAAAAGCACTTTGCAAAATATATAAGGAATTACTGAGCCTGTCTGAACTTGCCCCCACTTTCTCCAGTGCAATTTTGTACAAGGTAGAAGTTAGTGATTCTGAGGCAACCCTACCTCCCAGAACTGGTAGGAGTGGGCCAAGGTATGGCTCAGGGTGGCTCAGTAGGAGCCATATACAGACTTCTAGAATGGACCATTCAAGAGAGCTAACCTGCAAGAGCAGGACTAGTGTATGGAAACCTTCTTATAGGGCTGAGCTTTGATAACCAGAACTAAAAAMAATATGTTTCTACATTCATGGCTTAGGGCATGTTACCAAGATCTTGTTTTACTTACTTTAAACATACTGTTTTTATTTTCCCCTGTCTTTCCCTTTCCCCTATGCTGAGTGCTCATAGTCACCTACTCCCCCTTAATAAGGGATGTTTGAAGGATAAACATGAGATGCCATATATAGATCCTTCACAGATTCCACATTTCCAACAATCATTCCTGAACCTTAGACAAAGAAAATTAGACTGTTTTTGCCCATCTGAGAACACATGGTATGAGGCAGGAAGGCTAGTTTTTATCCTGTTTGGGACACTGTTATTCCCAGAAGTCCTGTGTAGATTGACTGTAGGAGTACTTTTTCTTCATCTAGCCTGGAGACTGGTGTCAGTTTACTCCTCTGTGTTTGAGCACACTTCTATGTGGCATCAGCTTCTTAAGCCACTGTAAAATCGTACTAGTATCTTCTATATACTACCTCCAGTACTGTTAGCCCTAAGTTTTGGTGGTCCTGGAATAGAAACAGAAAACATGAAAAAGTACTTACCAACCCCATCCCGCAGCCTGTCCATTATTTTACATGGTCCATGAAAGGCTGTGTTAGRTACAGAGAGGGAGGACTCATTAAAGAGCATCAGTGTTTGTTTTATCTTAACTTCTGGTCCATTGCCATTCCTCTACTCTGAAAATGTCAGAGTAAGAGAGATGACAGACCCTTGGGGTTTATCTTTTCCCTTGTTCCACCTGGATGGGCTAAAGTAAGATGGAGTAAGATGTGTTCTCTCTGGGAGATCATATATTGAAATGAGTCAGAAAAGTGTTAGGCTCTCGGGCCCTGTTAAAGAAGCTACATGCTAARCTCCTGGGAAAGATGCCATATCTCCCTTCCCAGGAGCAATGTAGTCACAGCTTCAAATTCATCCCAAAATTTGGAATGGGATAACTAAGCTCAGCTCAATATCCTTCCTTAGAGTCTAGGTTCTTAKTACACCTATGCTGAACTCTAACAACTGTTGTGAAGGACACATAACTACCATTCTTTGGAAATAGAGAGGAAAATGTAGTCACTCATTAAAAGGAGGGAGAAGTTATGCACACACACACATCCCTGTGAGAAAGTAAGGAGAAACCAGGGAACTTTGAGCTTAAAGGTGAACCTTGAGGAAATATTAGTGCAGGCTTCCTCTCTGGTCTGCCGGGAAGATGATGGGAATAATTGCAGTTGTGTGGGTGGTTGAACCAGATGTCCAGGGCCTTGTCAAACTCCAGGATTTTGAAATGGAATTAAGGGATGTAATGGTCACCAGGAATAGAAACCTGTCCAAGTAGAGGTTTATGTCAAAATTTAAGGCCAGATGTACAACTGGCTTGGTTTTAGAATTAAGATATACATCAGAGTAGCCTTCCTAGTCATGTTATCTTAAAATCTTTTATCTGGAGGTCTGTCAGGGAATAATATGATTCCCTGTGGTGTTTGTGCTAGCATCCACCTTTTACATCAGGAATGGACTAGACGTGAAGCTACTCAGAACAGGTGAATGATTTGTTGCTTCTTTCAAACTAGGAGTACAAGCTGCTGCTTTCTGTCCTGCCAGTGCTGAGGGGGGGGTCAAATCAATTGAACATTGATTTGAATGACAAGATTGTGGAAGTAGAAGGAAGAAGGACTGCTCATGGCAGGCTGCAACCTCCTTTGTTTTCCCAAATATTTCTTCTCTGATCTTAAACCCCCAATGCCCTATTCTGCTTTTGACAGAAACAATTTCCACGCCTTATGGAACATTCCAGCTCCATCCCCAGGGGCTTATCARTACTTATTCTAACCACACATCTTCTGTTTAATCATTTGGTGGGTTTTTTCTCCATTCTTTTTATTGCCAAAGAGATTTTACAGTCAGTCCTTTCTAGATTGAGACTCCGGGGCTGTTTGGTCCTATAATGGCACTTACCTGGAACTTACAGGGCATCTGGTAGGCTGGGTGTTTTCCTAAGCATGTATTTAAGCACTGAGCTTGGGGATCCCTGAAATATGGAATTAAGAGATATTTGACCAAGGAAATAAAAGCACCTATACTCAGGGTCTCACAGTCTGTACAGCATAGTTTGGCTGATTTGGGAGGACAATAATTGGGCATACAAGTGATGCACCTTATGGAAAGGTCAGTCTCAAGACAGTGCAGCATGAATCTGGGAGTGGATGGTGGGGCAGAGGTGGAGATAAGTCAGGGATGATGTTGCCTTTATCTGCCCATCTATGTGTGACTCTCCCTAGTTTTTTAAAAGCTGTTTTATTTAAAAATAAATTCTGTGGATTTTGCCTCCTTGCTTTTGACTGGAAACTCCCTGGTAAGGACTTGATGTTTGTCTCTCTAAGACTCTGTCTCTGTGACTGTTTTTTCTGTCTCTGTCAATGTCTGTCTCCTGATCTGAGCTGGACTAGTGATTGGATCCTCAGTGTGGTCTGGATTTCTGAGTCCACCCCTTAACCAGGAGTCTGAATACTGTTCATTCATTCATTTCATTCCACATACCTGGAAGTGAAGCCCGGAACRCAAATAACATGCAAATCTGTGACTTTCTGGCACTTTTAAAAACCAAACCTGTCTGGAGCCTGCCAGAGAACCCTCCTGAGGCCAGCCATGCCAATCAGGACTTCCAGCCCCTKGCTGACTGCGTCCCTTGTCTCCTTTCTCCTCTCCTGCACCCCATTCCCCTCAACATATCACCAAAGTGCTTCCCACTGCCCTATCTGTAAAATTCACGCTCACAAGAGTGAAACAAATACCAACTTCTCAAATAACTACTGTGGTGGAGAAACGTTCTGTGTTGGGCTAAGGGAGTTTTTCTCCCTGGGATGTTTTTGATTTCTTTCTAACTTATTCTTAGGCATGATAAAGATTTTTTAGCCTTCTGACAGTGGTTGGAGTGAGGAGGGAAACCTTCAGGCCACCCTTTTGTTCTAATTTCTAAATGTAGTTGAAGGTAGCTGAAGATCACCTGGGTCTGCTCTGTCACCTAACAGAGAAAAGACTCTCTCAAAGCAGGGACATGCACCCAAGTGTGTCTTCTAGTTCTCCTCCACTACTCGGTGAGAGCTTGCTCCAATCTTGAACCTGCAGAAAGGTCCAAAGGAAAGGGGGGTACCTGTTTCTTAAGAAATATTCTCCTGACACTCTTCCTAAACACCAGGAAAAATGTTTTACTTCCTTGCCTACAGCTGCCCATTTCCCATCAGCCCATCACCAGCCAATGATCTATATCAATGATTGCCTGTCAGGCCCTTAACAGCCCACCACCTCTCCAGCAGTCACCCACTCCTCCTGACTGCTTCTCTGTCCTGTCCTCTGCTGTTGGTCTAACAAGCCCAGCTGCTTTTGTCTAACTAGGGTCAGTTTACTTACTGATTCCTTGGGATTCTGGTGGAAAATCAACCCACACTCCAATTTTCACACTTATCTAGCTCCCTTACATACGGTTTTTTCTCCATAATACTTATTAGCATCTGAGTGCATTATTTACTGTTTTGTTTCATCTGTCTCTTGTTAAAATGTCTTCATCCAAATACCTAGAACAGTGAAGGAGAGAGTAATTAAAGGAGCGAATGAATGATTAAAATGTGTGTTCATCCAAATACCTAAAACAGTGAAGGAGAGAGTAATTAAAGGAGTGAATGAATTACCATTATTTTTTTAGCATCTCTGAGCTGTGCTTCACTTTTTTGAAGTGAATAGCTTTCATCCTATTCCAAATTCTCACTTCCTCATGTCTGGTTTTTATAGTGCTTCCTATCTCAGRGTCTCTGGCTTCAAGTTCATGTTCCACTTTGCAGTTGTAGAGCCATCTTTCCCCAAGAGTATTCATAAGAACACTGAACATTTATTGAGGCCCTGTCCCCAGTCTTACAGTCTTATATACTAAACATATCGTATGCGTTATTTCTTTGATCCTCACTAGTCTGCGATGTAGGTATCRGTATTCCAGTTTCACAGATAAGAAAATAATAGCAGTAAAGAGATTGGACAACCTGCCCCAAATCTCACTGATCAGTAGTTATAGAACAGGGTCTCCAAGTCAAAAGCACATGACTCCAAGCCCTTAAAAAGTACTAAGATCTGCTGCTTCCACATGACCACTATTTCATCCCCACAGAAAATGCCTGACAGATTTCATGGGGCTCTCCTAGAGTGAAACAAAATAAGA